AAGACATATCTACACGTAATAGTGGATCATTTAACGCGATATGCTTGGACCTTTCCATCGAAGTCCACCAGTACCCTAACGTACATTCAAACCCTCAAAACGGTACTACAGCAAGGATCTCCAAAACGTCTGTTATCTGACAGAGCGCCCGCTTTTACCTCAGAAAAATTCCGTAAATTTCTAATAACACATGGTATACAACCTCTACTCACCACAAGCAATAACCCACAAGCAAACGGTTTAATAGAACGCTTAAATGCGACCATTACAGGCAAACTCAGACTAGCTTATCCAGAAAATCCGAAAGCTTCCTGGACTCAACTAGTTAAGCGCGTCACTCAGACATGCAATAACACACCCCATTCTGTCACAAGTTTTCCACCTACCTACTTAATGTTCAATGTTATCCCCCCAGATCTAAGAACTCATCTTAACCCATACCCCGAAATAAATACAGCTCGAGAGATAGCAAGCTCTCGTACTCAAAATAAGCATAAAAAAGATAAAGAAACATTTGATAAGCAGCACAGAACACCACATTTCGAAGTGAATGATCTTGTTTTGGTCAAAAATTACAGACATCCCGACACAGGTAAATTAGCACCATATTTTACTGGACCATACACAATAATTGAAATAATCTCACCCAATTTCGTTCGAATAAATCGCCCCAATCAACCTCTCAATAGAGACAGTGACACCATACATGTCAATAAATTAAAATATTACACAGAGAATGTTCTGTACATAACACCTCCACAACCCCGATTTGTTCAAAACCCACAGCGATTGCCTCAAAATGTATATCTCAGTGAATTCAATCATTTGACTCCAGATATCTTCGAGACGCAACTATTCCGAATTATACCGCCTACAAGCTCACAGCCCTTTTTGCATTTAAATCCCGGTATTTTCAAATAGGCAAGAAAATTGACTACCTCAACAAAGAAGTAAGTCAGTTTCAAGTAAATCTCAAAAATAACAAACATCCCCATGTTTGACCACCCACGACGATATCAAGAAAGACAGACAGTGACCGCCAGTAATAGGATCCCCTGAATCTATTTCAGTTACACCTCCATCCCTCACAAGGCAGATCTTGACCGCTAGCTTCATGATCGCCATTTTGAACACATGTGTCACACTACTCATTTAGATTTCCTCGAGAATCTCACAAATCTCGCACAACGCCTTAATCACAACACATCATACATTAAACATTTTACATGTTAATTGATATCACCAATTAAAACAATTTGGTTAAGTCTTATATAGACTTTATGACGCAAAAGAGATATAATTATCTATATATCACCTTTTTGGATAAACGAGAATATTGTTCAATTCTCCACTACTTAACATTTATTCAATCATTAATAACCTTTAATTATATTTGAATTTTTGTATAAAATCTTGAATAATTATTTTTATTTTTACCTTTCAATTATATAATCAAATTTTTAATCCAACATTAAAAAAAAAACTTTAATCAAATTTACTTTTATTTTTCATGATATTATTTTAGTATTGCAAAACATCTAATTGTTTCAAAAATTATTTTTATTTTATTATTTATTATATCTTTTATATATTACATGTTTAATTTTGTCCACTTACACTTTTTGTACCCGCAATCATATTTCTATATTTCTATTCACTATATTTTATTTGTTTAAATACCTTTATTATCTGACAATGTTTATCATCCACTATCGGGCATCTACAACAATCGTTTTCAACAATCATATTCTTTAACCAATTCCCTATATTTTTCATCACTATCTTTTCAGTCATTGCGTCACATCAACGTAGAAAAACGACAGCACTGCTTGACAATTTATTTTTTGATTTCGTAATTCAACAAACTCTTTGAAAACACAGTTCCCCAGATTTAAAAATCCCAACTTCTGGCCTGAACACGCTTCAAGAGTTTATTTCGATCATGCGCAGAGCACAATCACCAACGCATGCACAAAGCGTTCACCTTTTTTCAACTTTCAACTTTTTTTTTTCAGCTCTAGCGGACCACAATCAACCTTTGATTTCATGTCAAGTCAGATCACCTACTGTCGCTACAATTCTACTTATCGCATGGCTCTATTTCACTCCTTTCCCAATCATATAAATAAGCAACTTTTCTTCAACAACTTTTAACCCAATAATCCTAAAATTGTGACAAAACACTGTAACCCTTATAAAGGATCGCAAGTGAAACATTGCCAAGGACGACAGCTCAAGTCTATATCCTCGCTTTGCACCTGGATCTGAGTATTTGGTTTACATGTGTACTCCTAACAATTGCATATTCTTCAACAACTAACCCTTTCCAATGCCCGCCAATATTCTCTTAGAATGTGAATTTTATGTCATCATTTTATTTTAATCATCTTTTTTTTTAATCAAACAAAAATGTCATTTTTATTTCACTTTTATATATCCAAACAAATCATCTTGTTATAGCCCTTTTTAGCCCTCACAGTTTAAATTAATTGGAAGAAATTTTAATTACTTACCTGTGTTAGAGAGGCTTTACCCGCTTAAACCCGGATAAACCCTTTCACTCCCGGGGCCCATCTATGGTAATTTAAACCAACAACCCCATATTGTGTATATAACTTATAATAAGATTTAATGTTGTATAATAGAAACACATCTGTAAACGATTATACGTATTATTGACATGTGTCTTTACATCATCATATGTAATGTAATTTGTACAAACTGAGGATAAATAAATAAAATCTGTAATAGATTAAAAGTTGAGCTAAGCAAGAGATAGAAGTCATAACGTCAAAATCAGACAGATTTAGAATTCCCACAACAAGCTCTAAAAATGGACCAGACCACCCACACTTCACATATGGTAGAATGCGAAGCCCCCTTTCACGCCTGGTGACATGCAAAGCCCCCTTTCTCAGAAACGGCCCCTGTCACATAAGGCCCCCCCGTCTTAACCTATAAATACAGTCCCTTTACAGTCACTTGACAGTTAGTTCACCCTCAGTGCAAGCCCGCGTCGGTCGTACCTCATTTCGATCTCATCCATCATGTAGACGAGTAGGAAACTTCTATGTCCCCATCTTTCGCTCCTAGCTCAACTTTTATCTGTTTGCGGAACTTTCTTAGTGCAACTGTGTCTTCGTTTTTTGTGTGGACATTCCCAAGCTTTCCACTCTGCCTCGACCACGACTGCCTGTATTTTGTGAGAACTTTTAAAGGTCTTCCAAGGTGCAGAGAGGTACTGGAAAACTCTACATCCTGACTGTTCCTCTCGGTTTACACAGTATAGCGAGAGTCGACACTTCATCATCAAAAAGTTAATCGACAGGATTCTATACAAGAGGCTACCAGAACTTCAACTTATTTCATATATATATATATATACTGGTAATCTGTTTAGAATATGTTGTTGGTTCACAGAGAATCCGTGTGGCAATGAACATTTCACCTGCAGCAACTCCCAGTGCATCAAGAAAGAATGGTGGTGCGATGGCCGAAGCGACTGCAGAGACAACTCTGATGAAGCTCGTTGTAGGCATACCTACAATTATTATACTGGTAAGACATATGTTTGAATATTCTTTACACTTATTCAACACAGAGAGTAAATGTAAACCAATACCAAGTTAATTCCTAATATAGCAACTTAATATTGCAAATATGGGCAACGCCATTTGTAAGATTCAAGATGTGAGAAAAATCTTACATGTTTGTAATATAAAAGTAATACCTGTTTGCTCATGACTCGAATTATATTTGACCTATTTTAGCTAAATAAAATATGTTTGATAAGTAAAGCCTTATCTAATAAATATTCATTTTGTTTTCAGATAGCTTAGGTTAAAGTATGGAATTAAGACAGAAACAAAGAGCCGTTATTAAATTTTTGGAAATGGAGGGATGTTCAGAGTTTCAGAGATTCACTAGAGACTGATAAATGTATACAAAGAAGCCATAATCGATATGAGTAATGTGAGAAGATGGATGAAAAGATTCTGATGCGGTGAGACTTCTTTGGAAGACAAACCACGTAGTGGGAGGCCATCAATCAACCCTGAATACAAGGTTGATGACCTTATCCGTCATGATCAAAGAACAACTATCAGAGAGTTGTGTAATATACTGAATGTTGGATCTAATGGAATAGAAACAATGGCTTGACATCTAGGTTATAGAAAAATCTGTTCAAAATGGGTTCCAAGTAAACTAACCCCTGATCAGCGTAATCAAAGGGTTCAACTATGCCAAGAGCTACTGGATATATAAAGCCCAAAAGGATACTTTTTGAAAAAATATAGGGGTTGGAAATGAAACTCAGAAACTAAGGCACAATCATATTCCAACTCACCTAAGAAAACAAAATTCAAAGTGCAGATGTCATCCAAAAAGGTGATGGCAACTGTCTTTTGAGACATGCAAGGTGTAATAATGATTGATTTTCTAGAAGGTAACACTGTGAACAGTTCTCGCTATGTTTTAAGTTTACAGAAGTTTAGGGAAGCTATTTGAAAAAACAGAGATTCCTCTTAAATCTGTCAAGTTACACCATGACAAGGCACAGCCGCACACTTCCATCCAGAATTCAGAGGCTATTGGACAAATGGGCTGGTCACTGGTTCTACAACCCAGATTTGGCACCTTGTAACTTTTATTTATTCTTCTCAATGAAAACAAAAGTCTGAATGGGCAAATATTGGAAGACCTACAGGCCATAAAGACATGGTTGAGAAAACCACCCCTAGAATATTTCCAAAGCCTATTTACAGCGTGGGTTAAACGCTTACCATATTTTTCCGTTTGTCATTGCTCTTCACAATTCATCCTTTCATACTTCATCCCTAAGGTTGGAAATAATCGTTATTTCTCCTTAAAATAAAATTCGATTTTTCGTTCAAAAGAAACACATGCGGAATAATTTTCAAATGTCGTGCTACAATAATAAGCCGCATTATATTGTATTATAAATTACTTTATGTAATGTTTACAAACGGAAAAATATGTCCAGGGTAGCTTAGTGGACATGGCATCTGTAAGTGGAATCTCCCAGTAAGTGGAACACTGTGAGTTCGATTCCCATCCCTGGACACTTTTATTTTTCCGTTCATCATTACTCTTCACAATTCATCCTTTCATACTTCATCTCTAAGGTTGTAAATAATCGTTATTTCTCCTTAAAATAAATTTCGATTTTTCGTTCAAAAGAAACATTTGCGGTATAGTTGTCAAACTTCGTTCTACAATAATAAGCCACATTATATTGTATTATAAATTACATACCTCCATCTAGCTGGGTAAGTGTTCTGTTCCCACCCTACTGGATCTGCTCCTACTTGGGAGGTGCCACCTCTTTGGGCTCACTCAAGGTGAAGAGGAGTGCGCGGTCACAACCTAACGGGCCCTTCTCCTCCCCTCATCATCAGGCTCAAAAGAAGCTCCTGCGACGATGCATCTGCTCTTGGAGCATTCTGCCAACGTCTGCAGGCGGACAACGCACGCAGTTGTGCAAAGAGAGACTCTTGGAGGAAGCTGTGGTACTGCGAATGATTTTAACCCCGTTCTGGGCATAGGTGAAAGCCCAAGTGTGAATCCAAACTTCTAAAATTGCCATATCAAATAAAACGTAAACGTTACTGATGACATACAAATAAGTTGAATTCTGCTATTGAAGAACAATACCATTTAGATTTTTGTTCATTTCGTTCATATCGTAGTATATGTTTGAGCTATTCATACCGCAGTGTATGTTTGAACTATTCATATTATATATTATATTTACACTGATTTGTGTGAAATGGTTGAATGTAACGAAGGTTGTTGTTTATTCCAGGTTGTCAATCTGATCAGTTCGACTGCAAGTCACCGAAACAAGACAGGACAAGGTGTATTCCGATGGAATGGACCTGTGACGCTCGACCTGACTGCACTGATGGATCTGATGAGAAACTTGACAGATGCAGTAAGTAATTGTGTCTTATTACAAAACATTAGCTGAGATAAACTAGGACATCATCATATCCTATTTACAAAATATTATTATTGGCACTCAACAACTTATCGTTCAGAAAAACTTTGTCGAATTCTCAACAATTATTCCAATTAGATTTCTTCTCTATAAGTATATAATTTTTAATTTTCTTTAAAAATATTCTGGAATGCCCAAAATTATCAGTGATCAACTCAGAAAATTTGACAGTTTTCAATTCTGGATTATAAACCGCATAACTTAATTTGTAGCTAGGTTTTGTGAAGTTTATACAGTTAAACCTGTCTATAGCGCCCCCTCTTGTGACTCACCAAAATAGGGTGCTATAGAGAGGGGGTGCTATAGGCAGGTCACTTTTAATGTAAATCGCACCGTACTATGTATTTAAAATCGGGCGCTATAGAGAGGGAGGCGCTATTTAGAGGGGGCGCTATAGACAGGTTTAGCTGTATTTAAGACGTTTTGTAGAATTTTAATTGGAATGATGTCAGGTAACTATCCTGAAGGTTTTTTTATATATTCAGGTTTGTTCTGTGCTTATCAAGAAAAAAATACCGTTTACTCTATAATATTTTATCAATAAATGTAGCAAATGCATAAGCGCCAAATATACTTATTCTTAAACGGGTAAAAAATGAATATATAATTAAAAATCTAAATGGTGCTATTTCTTTATAGTAAGAAAATATTTGTAGAAAATTTTACTGTGTTCTATATGATCAAAAATAAGGTGCAATATTTCTTGTTATATTAATATCTAATTTTGATACACTTTGTACTTGAATAACATGTGTGTCTGTTAGTTCCAAAACGGCCTTGTACAAGTGAAGAATTCAAGTGTCACAATGGACTTTGTATCCCCATGAGTCAAGTTTGTGATGGAACCGACAACTGCCGAGACAACTCTGATGAAAACTGCTGTAAGTTTTAAATTTATTCGTCTTTTTAAAACATGAAACAACCATTTTGATCAAACTTATTTTGAACATAATATTTGATTAAGGGATAAAAGAGGCATCTCCTGATCGTTCAACTAAAATTTGATGATGGCTTGCGCCATCTGTTGAAATAAATATCAACTAAATGTTTATTTTTAAATAATACAAAATTGGCAACATACCATTTATTAATTAAAAAAGAAAAGCTATCCACTTACGTCTTTCGAGCTATTGGCGCAAGCCATCAGCAACTTTTAGTTGCCCGATCAGGAGATGTTCTTTTTATTTTTAATTTCTCAAATATAAATCAATCGTCGTTTGATACAAGAGTTAATATCGAAAATTATAGTTTTGAATTTCACACACACATTTTTAACGTAATTTAGGCTTAATATATATATATATATCTCTATATATATATATAAATGAATGTTTGTATGTTTGTCTGTTTGTCTGTCTGTATGTCCGGTATACAAATTCGCAGTAGTTCACTAATTCAAACCAAAATTCCCATACATAGGTAAAAGAGTACGGGGAAGACGATAGGCTATTTAAAAAATATATAAATCAATTATTAAAACTATATATTTTTAGTCAGAAAATGATGATGACGATATTGCTGTATCATGTTTGATTATCAGATACAAAATTATATCGGGAAAAATTCCAAAAAGCAGAGACCACGGGTGAAACCAGTTCATTATTTTGTATGCAGGAACAAAATTCTAACAGAAAAACATTCATTCGAGCAGAAAATAAAAGCCAGATCATCTTTCTATAAAAATATCGCTTCTCAGACACAAAGTTTGGAGCGGGACATTTCACAAGAGTGACATCCACGGCGCCAATTTATAATTGTAACGAATAGTATTTGAATAGGGTACATTTAATAGGGTAAAACCCGGGCGTTGCCCGGGTCATTCGGCTGGTATATATATATAAATGAATGTTTGTATGTTTGTTTGTTTGTATGTCCGGTATACAAATTCGCAGTAGTTCACTAATTCAAACCAAAATTTCCATAAATAGGTAAAAAAAAATACGGGGAAGACGAGAGGCTATTTAAAAAAAACATATAAATGAATTATTAAAACTATATATTCAAATTATTCTACTTAGCTCACGAACAGCGCCCTCTATCAAAGATTAGATTAAATTATGCTGATGCAAACAAATAGATAATGCTAATAACAAACAATTATTTAAAAAAATATTATCTAAATATATATCACTCGGGTAGATATGCACACGGGTCAATCCCGGGGCGAAGCCCGGGTCACCCGTCTAGTATATTATATAATCTAAAATGCAATTATTTTTATTTTTTTAAAACATATGTTTTATTTTCATTCATTGACTGTTCTACATTTTTTGACCATAGATTTAGAAGATACCACTTTGAATATTTGTTATAAATATGTATAGTTAAACCTACCTATTTTTTTAAATCACGAATATAGAATTTATTTTATAAATTCTTTATTACTGTGATATAAATAATTTTATGTGTAATTTACTTCAAGTAATTCAAAATAAAAACTATTTATTTTATAACCTACTTTGATTTATGATTCTCGATATTATATTTGTGTTATTGTTTATACATTTTTAACATATGTCTTTTTTTTTAATGTAGAGATTTTTTAAAAACCTTGTCAAGCTAGCTCATTCTTTCTTGGTTGTCAATTAATTTAGTTCAGATTTTCTGAATAGCAACAAATATGCTGTTATGTATTGGTAAAGCTTTTTGTTATAAATATTCTTAAATAATTATATATTTAATAAAACAGAGTAATATTATCACTGATATAGATTCTTCTTCTTTCTTATCTCCACTCAATCATGTTAGGGTATCAAGTTGTGACCCTTGATGGTGTCTGTTTGACAACCATCATGACTGGGTGAAGTAGAATGCGTCTGCCTTTGTCATTAAGACTGGGAGCACTACTCAGTGGCAGGCCGACTTAGCTCCAAAAAAAATGGCCGCCTCTGACATGAGGAACAGACGCCATGTGCAGCCGCTCCTAACATGGAGCACAAACGCTGCTCATCCTGTATCCCTGGATTAGGAGCCCTTTAAGGGTACTATCAGCCAGGGCCAGCTGAACCCAGGTGTTTTAGTGAGCTTGTTACTGCTCCCCCTTCTCCTTTTTCATCCGGGCTTGGGACCAGCAAATGCGGAGTTTGATTATTCTATTTCTATCACCATAGACATGTGAATAGGGTAACTTAAGAAAAAAGAGTCCACTTAGATGGATACAATAATCTCTTCAGATTTCCCACTTGCCACCTTCATAGGTTCCAAACATCCACCACCCTCCTAGGAATAAGTATATTTACTCCTGAAGACCTACAGAACCAAGTACAGTACATCTGATAAACTGGATGTCCACCATTAGACGTGAAGTCTCAACCCGGATAGTTGGTGCCTTTAGTACGTGGTGGCTCCAGGAATCTGGATTACATCAAGAGAGAGAGAGAGATTGAAATTGAAAATACTTTATTTCAATGTCCATATAAGATTATATAAGGTTGAATACAGATAAAAAATAAATATGATTATATAATGATAAACATGAAAAAAGGGCATCTCCTTATCGTGCAACTGAAAGTTGCTGATGGTTTGCGCCATCTATCCATCAGCAACTTTCAGTTACACGATAAGGAGATGCCCTTTTTTCATAATTATGCACCTTATCCCAGTACAATATCACATTTGTACTATTTTTTTCATAATAATAAATGTATGAATAAATAGATAAAAATATAAAATAATTGATAAATATACATTTATATAGAGAGAGAGAGAGGAAATTGAGATTGAAACTACTTTACTTCAATGTCCATATAAGATTATATAAGGTTGAATACAGAATTGAATAAATACGAATAAATACGAAGAGAGAGATTGAGATTGAAACTTATTATTTACAATAAGAGAGCGATAATTCAATATGAATGGTGACCATGCTAAATTGCATACAGGGATCCAGCTTCCCAAGATGGCCATTGGAAAGGAAATGAAGAACAAACTTGTCAAATATCTCTCCCTTCAAAACCCTCCTCTCTTTTTTCACAAAGACCCGCATCGCTACTTGTTGACCCTCTTCTTCGCCAACAACTCTGCCTTCAATTCTTCTTTGTCCCCTGAGATGAAGTTGTTG